TGGGGAAGGAGAGTGTCACTGGGGGCAGGGGGAGGAGTGTGGGGCTGTGGGGGGTCCCTGGGCACAGGGTGTAGAAGTCCCATGGGACAGCAGGTCCTGGGAGGGTGGGTTGGGGGGCTGTGGGTCCCATGGGCGGGATGTGGGGTGATAGGTCTCTGGGGGCAGGCCGGGGGCTGTGGGTCCCTGGGGGGCAGGGGTGGGGCTGCGGGTCCCATGGGCGGGAGGTGGGGGTGCAGGGGGCGGGGGGGGGGGGGGGGGGGGGGGGGGGGGGGCCATGGGTCCCATGGGGCGCTGCAGGCTGCAGAGGGTGCAATGGTCTCTGTGACCACACGGGGGAGCTGCAGGGTCGCGCTTTGCTGCCTGGGAACGAGGGCGGGGCCGGGTTACTGTACCGTATTGACTGTATTAGCGTACTGGCTGGAAACCAGTGCCTTTACCGTATTGATTGTATTAGAGACGGTGACGCCTGTTGCCCTCACTGTATTGACTGTATAAGTGGGGCCCTGCTTGAGTTCTGGGATGCTTGTCCAATGCTTGCGGCTGAGTGGCGGCCAAGACATGGAAAGTCCCGGCAAAGTACTAACGGACCTTTATTAGCGGCAGTAATTGGAAGAGCCGGAGAAGAGCGGCGTATTTCAGAGACATTGGCTGGAACAAGTATTATGTGATGCCGGCTGATTTATTTTTTTGATAACCAGATAGCTTGGTGCACCTATATTACAGTCATTAACGTGTGGGGGGGGGGGGCTGAGAGAGGGAGCCCCTGCGGGGGCCCACAGCCAGGGCTCCCGGCTGACAGAATTAGGGGTCGGCAATATCACAAATCAAGTAGGGCCTTATATACCAGTATAATGGTGAGAAGCTGGTATCCTTACCGTATTGATTGTATTAGACAAGGCGGCGCCTGGTGCTATTACCGTATTGATTGTATTAGAGGAGGCAGGGCTGGTGCTATTTCTGTTACGGAATTAATACAATTTTACCGGATTCAGAGGCGGCGGCGGCGGGTTGGTGCTATTACCGTATTGATTGTATTAGTGCTCTAGGTGGAAGCAGTGCTAGATGGGATGACCGCGGGAACTTTTCCCGTGTTGATCGCATTAGGGCATAGGTGGGATGCTGGTACTGCTACCGTACTGACTGTAGTAGTGGTGCTCTCTAAGTTTCTCCACCCCCGCCCCCCCAGGTGCTGTGATAAGCGCCTGTGGACCCGCATCGACCTGAGCCGCCGGAAATCGATCACCCCGTCTATGCTGAGCGGCATCATCCGCCGGCAGCCGGCCAGCCTCGACCTCAGCTGGACCAACATCTCCAAGAAGCAGCTCATGTGGCTCATCAACAGGCTACAGGGTAGGGGGTGCTGCTGGGAGCCCGGACTCCTGGGTTCTTTTCCCAGCTCCGGGAGGGGAGTGGGGCCTGGTGGCTCAGAGCCCGGGGGAAATGGGAGCCAGGTGCTCCTGGGTTCTCTCCCTGACGCGGCACCTCTCTGCTGCCCCCTGCAGGCCTGCGGGAGCTGGTCCTGACGGGCTGCTCGTGGTGCTCCGTCTCGGCGCTGAGCACCGCCAGCTTCCCCTCGCTGCGGCTGCTCGACCTGCGCTGGATCGAGGACGTCAAGGACTCGCACCTCCGGGAGCTGCTGCTGCCACCCACGGACAGCAAGCCAGGTGGGTACTAGGGGGCGCCGTGCCCCAGTGCAGCACCAGGGGGCGGTGTGCTGCAGAGTTCAGGGGTTCGCGGGGGCGCTGTTCCCCAGTGCGGCACCAGGGGGCGGTGTGCTGCAGGGAGCCGACCTGTCCCTGCTCCCCCAGGTCAGACCGAGAGCCGGGGCCGGCTGCAGAACGTGTCCGAGCTGCGCCTGTCGGGGCTGGACATCACGGACTCCTCGCTGCGCCTCGTCGTCCGCCACACGCCCCAGCTCGCCAAGCTGGACCTGAGCCACTGCAACCACGTGGGTGACCAGTCCGTCAACCTGCTGACCGCTGCTAACTCCCCCCTCCGCGACAGCCTCGCCGAGATCAACCTCTCCGGTGAGCTCCTGGCACTGCCGGGCCCTGCACCCCGAATCCGCAGCCCCTGCTAGCCCAGCCCTGGCCTCCCCCACACCCCTAGCTCTGCCGGGGCCCCTCGCTCCTGACCTGCAGCCCCTGCTAGCCCCCTCACCCCCACAGCTCCGTGGGGCCCCTCACTCCCGACCCGCAGCCCCTGCTAGCCCAGCCCTGAGCTCCCCCCACAGTTCTGCCGGTGCCCCTCACTCCCAACCCGCAGCCCCTGCTAGCCCAGCCCGGGACTGTCTGATGGACACACGTACTATTACGGACTTAATTGGATCTGGCACCCCCTAGAGGGCCAAGGCCCCGGGTCTCATTCTCCGCCTCTCTCCCCGCAGGGTGTAACCGCCTGACGGACCAGTGTCTGCCTCTCTTCCGACGCTGCCCGCGCCTCTCCCGCATCGATCTGCGCTCCTGCCGCCACGTCACCCCCGAGGGCTGCGCCCGCTTCTGCGAGGACTCCGGGCCCCCAGCCCCCCCGCCTGCCGGGCCCCCCTTCCGCTGCCCCGAGGAGAAATTGCTGATCAAAGACAGCTAATAGCCGGGCGGGGCCAGGCTGCGCCAGAGACTTGAAGAGAGACCTTTTACTAAAGCCATGCACTGAATCATGGGGGGGCCGGGGGCCTTCCGGGGCTGGGAGGGAGCCAAGGGGGACCCGCTCTCCACCCATCTCTGATTTGGGAGGGGATCCCATTTGGGGGTGTCTGGGGGGGGCTGATTGGAGTTGGTACTGCCCTTGGGGGGTGGTTTGGAAGCCAGGATGCCGGGGGGAGGGGTGCACTGGTACTGGTGGGCACATCTCCTCCCCCCTTTAAAAAATCCCCCCCCCCCCCCCCCGCCCCCCAGCGTGCTGCCTTTGGAATTGGTTGTATCCGTTGCCAAGTGTGTGGCTGCTGGATCTGGGCCCCCCCCCACCACCACCACCGCACCACCTCTGTGGGGGGCTCTAGCACTGATGGTTTATCCCTACCCCCACACTCGCACTCCCTGGGGGCAGCCCCACCCACGCCCGATGCCCCGCCCCCCCTCGGATCCACCAGCTTTAAATAACCACTTGCGGGGGCAGCGTCTGGATTTCCTCCTGGGGTGGGGGGCCCTCCTAATGCCCCTCCCCCTTCAGCTGGAGGGGGGAGGGGGCTCGGATCCCCCTCCTCAGCCTCAAAACTTGAACCTCCTTTTTCGAAACGGTTACGCTTCCCCCTGGCTCCTCCCACTCGGGGGAAGGGGGCGTGGCTTTGCGCGGCAGGGCAGCGGTTCTACCTGTGGATCAGGGGAGGGGGTGGGGGGCACCCTGGTCCGGGCCCCAAGGAGAGGGGTGTCTGGCCCATCAGATCCCCCCCCCAATACGGGGTGCACATGATCAGTTCCACTTTGGTTTGAGGGGTGTGGTGGGGCGGGCTGGCAGTGGGGAGCCCCAGATTTGGGCAGCTGGGGGAGGGGGGTGGTGGCATCCTCTCTCCGTGGGGCAGCTGTTGCGGGACAGCCGTCCCTCTGCGCATCTGGGAGGTTGGGGGGCGGGGCGGGGTAGGCGACCTTTCTTTTGATACTTGAAACCTTCCTCCCGCACCCCCCCGGCTAACGCGTTACTTGAATCGTAGCTGTAGGTTCTGCCGTCGGAGGCGAAAGACGCAAAGAAAAAGGTATTTCCCTCCCCTCTCCCATTTTTGTTTCTGTTCAGTGTTTAAAGGCCAAGGAAATGTCGGGGGGTTGTTCCCCCCCCCAATCCCCTGGGGCATCCTCTCCCAGGGGGCAGCGATCTGTTGGTGCTGGGGGGCAGCGTAGGGCTGGTGGCGGGGGATGTCTGTGGGGCTTGATGGGGGACCCTCAAGGCTGGGTCTCTTTTGGGGCGTGCCCCCCCCCATCAGTTGGGATGCTGGCTGTAAAGGGTTAAGAGGAATCTGCGGGGGGGGGGAGTTCCCGCATAGCGCCCCCCGCATCAGTGACTCCCCGTTCCTGTCCAGTTCTCCCTGTTCCTTCGAGCGTCACACACTCCATGCGGACCCAGGTGTCCGGGCCACTTCCCGGCCTTTCCTCCTGACGGGGCCGGGGCTTGGATAACCCTCCCTCCCTCCCCAGGATCGGGGCGGGGGTCCCCGGGTCCAGCCTGGCTCTGCCTTGGTTTGTTTTCAGCGGATGTTTTTATGGAAAATGCCTCAGGTTTAAAAGAAAGAAAGTTTAAATATTAGAGCAAAAATCCCACCAGGCACGTTGGGCTTAACTGCTGCTGTTACGCGGTGGGGCAGTATTGGGAAGGTCAGACAGACGGAGCTGAGAGATGGAAGGGTCCCACAGACAGACGGGCAGAGCCTAGAGAGAGAGAGAGACAGATGGACACAGCGATCCCACGGACGGATGGACGCGGCGATCCCATGGTTGGATCCCACAGACACGCGGCAGTCCCTCAGAGAGATCCCCCAGGCGGACGGACATGGCGATCCCACAGACACGCGGCAGTCCCTCAAAGAGATCCCCCAGACAGACAGCAATCCCATGGACAGATCCCACAGACATGCAGTGATCCCATGGACAGATCCCACAGACACGCGACAGTCCCTCAGAGAGATCCCCCAGACAGACGGACACGCGGTGATCCCGTAGACAGGTCCCGTAGACAGACAGACCCATGTGGCGATCCCATAGACAGACAGACACACATCCTACATACAGAGAGCTTCCCTCCGAACCGAGCCAGTTTCCCTAGCGAGCGAGCCGGCCCCTACCCAGAGACACAAACCCGTCCCCGGCGCAGCCCTGGTCGCCCCCACGTTCCTCCTAGGGTAACCCAGATGCCCACGGATCCCCCCCAACCCTTCCCACCCATTTCCCCCGGGAGCCACCTTAAAGACGAATCTCTCCCCTCGCTGTGCTGGGAATTGCATCCGCTGTGTGAGCTGCAGCCACTAGATGGCGACATCGTTCTCACACGTTTCCTGGTACCCCCCCCCCCCCCCCCCCCCCCCCCCCC